ACATCGTGAAACATTCCATTCATATTTCATAGTTACCCTGTTAAAGGTGAAGTCGTAACTCGAGTACTCCATAAAATAGATTGACACCTGTCAAGTTTCAATACCGTTAAATTTCGTTTGACATTTTAGGAAATAATTTCGTCATTTTGAATTGAATACACTTTAAATGCCAAGTTTTTATTAGCCTTAATATTGCCGTCTGAATTCTGATTTAATCATAGTATGTGCAAATATAATAATGCTGGTCTTGTCGAAGTCTTGGATGGACGTTGAATATTCTTCATTGCTAAGCGTGGCTACGATCCAATATGCGCTATATAATGTAGAAGCCATGACATCACTTTATATTATAGTTACTTTATTTTTTACTATAGCACTATCTTGCTTTGATTATAAGTTAAATTCCCCTTAACCTTTATCTTAAAAAAATATGAAACTAAGGATTGTTAAATTGCAGTTGTAGTAGTAAGAGGATATTGTAATCTTTTTCTGTCTAATCTCTTTGTTTTTATCGGCTATTCTCGGTCCGAAAAAATATAATTATATGGCTTTCTTCCGTATCTTATATTAACGTGTGAAATTTGTAAATATCTGCACAGTGAAGGACATCAATGAAAACTCTAGTTGTGGGACAGACACATTTTTAAGTGAGAACGACCAAAATAGTTTGCTTAATTTATTTCGTTGTACCTTAATAAATTATTAACTAATTAGACTGGAACCAACTTGAAGGTTAATTTATATTGTTTGTTTATTTGATAACGTATTTATTAAACCTGTATGTGAGATTTTGGCGTGTTCTAAAATGTTCGTATGTATGAATAACTCTAGTTAACTAAAATACTATAAAACTGCCTTCAATTTTAAAGCTATTTTTTTAAGTTATTGTGTATAGATAAGTACGATGGAACTAATTTTTTTGTTGTGGATTCGGAGGTTAATGTGTAATACAGTAATGATTCCTCAATACTCAATACTCAATACTCAATATCTTTATTGCTTTTCCATAAGTACATTTAAAGGTGGTAACAATTTGTGTGAGATCAATTATGGACCCTGTAGGGCACAGCAAAATAAGGCAAACAGGAGGAGGCCTCCTTTCGTCTACTATCAGGAGATATTATTAGTGTAGACAAATCTAATAATAACAATGCTATTTTATTAGGGGCAGAAATATCCAATTTACTTTTTGAATTACAGCATTTTCCGGAAGGTTCACTCATGCATGATTCTTGACATTCGGAGCCGCGGTCAAGAAACAATGAGCTGAAGAAGTATTTGCCTTAAGAAAACCTTTGAACAGTTACCTTGGCTTCCAAAGAAATCAAAGAAAAACCACCAGTTTTAATAAAGTAACGTGTATTGTTTGCTTTTAAAAATACAATAATAGTTGCACAAACAATTTAAACCACTAACTACGATAGCAATACGTTAAGTATGGTAGATACTCTTCTAGATTTTTCCTAAACAACTTTTAAAAGGCTGATTGATCGACAGTGTAGTTTTTATCAAAAATTTTCGCATACCTATTGACGGATTCATTCCGAGAAATCCCCGAAAAATGCACCACTGGTCATGGATCGAAATGTTTTGTCATCATTAAAATACGTTCAGGTATTTTAGATGAAGACTTTTTGGAATTCGAATGTAAAATTTTTGGACTGCCCATAAATTGCTTTAGTGTCCATAATGTATGCAGGTTTTAGTTTCCTGTCTAAACATTCAGCAAAAGTTTTTATTCACCAGCCCAGTTAACTACATAAACGACTTCTTTGATACATCTTATTCTTCTCAAATTGACGTTAACAGCTCAAGTAATAAAACAATAAACACCAATATTGATCGACCACAAAGAATGGGCAAGAAAATTCCATTATATATTATCTGACCAATTTATTAAGTAACAGATTTCCCTTGAGAGGTTGCCTAGTGGTATTTACTTAGAAAGTAATAGAAAATTAGCCTCACTGGCTTTTCTTTTCTTGCATCTTATATTGTTTTTTTTTGCCCAAGCATATTGGAGATTGACAATTTATGTTGTTTCAGTTAGTGAATGTATCAGTTTATTTTGATTCCTCTGTTCTGGAACTCGAAATGTGGCTTGCATATATTTCCACGTAATATGTATAAGAGGAGTTTTTAGATTTGCATAACTGGTGTTGTGTCTGTAGTATACAAAGCTTGGTGAGTATCTCAAGGACCTTTATTCAAGCCTTGGTTTGTTTGTCTAATGGCAAGTAAGAATTCCAATATAATTAAAAGGACATACGAGTACTTATCGTTGCTCATAAATTCCTTCATGTTCGATAATGTCACGCGGAAGCTAAATATTTAAGTAGCTAAGTACATTAATTAATTATGTAATTCGTGTACATAACATGTGTCAGTCCAGTTCGTTTGTTTGTTTAAAGTGTTTATTGAATGTCTGTTAATGTTTGCAAGGCACTAATAGCCGAGTCGTTTCTTGTCCGATTTTGATGATAATGGTATTTGTAGGAGACTTTCTTTTGTCCAAATTTTATATTCATGGCTGAAGATGAAAAATAAAAGGTGGGTAGAAAGTGACATCTTCTAGACGAGTTTTTTGTCAATCAGGATGTCCAAAATGCACGTGTCATTACAACCTCAGACAGTCATAGTCTTGTTCATCAGCTGTCCATAATTAGTCTTAGTAGATTTAATAACCCCAAGACCTTAAGCCAGTTTAATTTATAGCATGTATAAGCAACAGAACAAAGTATGGATCAAGTTTGAAACAGGTGGCTGGTTAGCGTAGGAAACTGTCGTAAATACATGAAAACTCCATTAAATTGATCTATTGTTCAACAGTTTTGCTATTGTGACTATTGTGAGCAGTTGACAATAATATACGAGCTCGAAAAAGGAGGTCAACTCGAACACCAGCGGGCTAATTGTCCCATAGTAGGGCAAAAGCTTGTTTTCACACAATGTGATAGTATTACTGTGGTTGCGGTTTACTGTTTGTGTTTCGGCCATTTTTGTTAGTTCAAGCCATGTGTGTGGCATAGGCAAATACGCACAACTAATGATAAGGCAAGCCATTAATTTCAAGCTTTTGATTGACTGATATACAGAGAACACCATTTTCAGTGGTTATTTGTACTGTTTCTAAGTGATCTAGCGGGCTCACTTCTCTTTCATATATAACCGATGCTAATCTCATTGGAGATCTTGGGTACAGGCTAGAAATATACTGCTCTTAAACGCCATTTTTCAAGGCTAATTATTTAAACATTGAGGTAGCCGCGGAAGTACTACACTGTAGGTACGTACAAACATCACATCATCAGCCACTACTGAGCAAAGGCCTTTGCTCACACGGAGAAGGTTTGAATTTGAGCATTCACCAAGCTTGTTTAGGTGGAACTTTTCAAACACATTAGAAATTACAAGTCCAGGTTTCCTCACATTGTTTTCCTTCATCTTTTGGCAGTGTAGCAACATACACTTAGATAGCACATACTCGTATAAGTTAGGAAAAGTCGCATTGTTACTTGCTCGAATTAAGCGGGACCCTCAACGCCACGACACGTGGTACGTATGTATATGTAACGATCTATTTGGATAGTGTAACCACTGTTCGTATTACAGTAAAAGGCTCGCGACGTTCGTTGAATGAATGGCATCAATCATTAATGTTTATCAAATGAAATTGCATGTAAATATTTATAGTAGTCATCGTAAACATGTTTTACATAATTGCATACCTTTCACTTCTCGTTAATGATATCTGTCATTATCTAATTATTACTTTATCAGAGCTACTTCATTTGAAGGTTAAGGTTGTTTTATAGTTGTTGTTCAAAGATCTTGATGGCTACATTGGTCTGATCTGTATTTGGACAATATAGATGCATTAAACGAAAGGAATTGACAAACTGCGAAGTTGATTGATGCTGTTATTATAGTTCTATGATCCTGTCGTGTCTGACTACTGCGACTGTTAACCTTTCGATCGTGGTAATTCGAGACACAAAAGAAGTACAACAGATGCGCGAACGCCAGTCTTTGCTTGGGCTTTGATGAACTAAAGCTTGTGTGTTCACCGCAATGTTGGGTTATCATCACACTTTATACGGCAAGATGGAGTTTACATTTCTCCTCGCGTCTGCAATCGCTAATCCGTGTGAGTAACACTCGGTTATTTTCCAATTGAGAGAGACCTTAGTTCAGTAATGGGCACTTATAGGCTGATGATGATAATGATGACTAGATTCTTAAAAGAAATGTTCACTATAGGAACTTCGAATTAGTGATATTAAATGGATCCAAAAAATAAGGAAGGAATGAAGAAAGTTAGAAGAATAGGTGTTGTTGATGCTTTGCGTAAATAAATGGTTTTTCTTTCTTTTCTTTCTTCTCTTCTGATGATACCATTTTAAACCACAGTTAGGTTACTTATAACTCACTTCAGCTTTTTACTTCCAAAACTTAATTCAGTCACTCATGAATGGAAACAATACCACAGATCGACGAAAGCCATAAAAAAATAAATAAGATTTGTAAGGAAAATGCGGAAGAGATTTTATTCAATAAATATTCATATAAATTGAATAACTTACATATATATGTGAACAATAAAACTATTTTATCGAGATGAAATGAAAAACTGCCAACATAAATAAAGTACGTAGGTATGTAAACTACTATTTTATGATCGATTTATTCGACATGACTTTTGAGGCATAAAATACTGTAAAAAAATTCCATATCATTTTAAAATAGGTTTCAATCAACTTAATAAGAGTCTGAGTGGCTATTCAAAAAGCAAGCCATGGAACTATCGATCATCTCCACTGACTAACGTACCGGAACATTTTTTCACGACACGTCTAACGTATGTGAAGGCAGCATGCCTCTCAAGCGAAAATAGACCTTAAATGTAAGCAATAAAAAACATGTAATGTTTGTAACAGTCGCGACATCCGTTGATAAATTCAAACAATTGCATGTTTTCGCAATAAACATTACGAACTAACCTTTGTGTGCTGTTATAGAACATAGCAGCTTGCCTTTTCAAATCGTCCGATACAGTATTATCTTCATTCATTTTCACAACACTGAAATCACTGAGTTTTATTAGAGAGGTCACTACACCATAGAACTGAGGATTGTACGAAATTAGACTTCCTGTGCGTAGAATTAAGGTTGAATTTTGTTTTAAGGTTCAAAGGTGAACGTCGGTTGGAATTTGGAGGCCGGCAAGTCAGCGTTCGACGCCCGCGCCTCTTACTGTGAACTGACACGACAATCGACTTAGATCGCCCACTCACGCGGCCTGCACCCCCCACTCATAACCGCTCCATTGTTTACGGCGATACGACACGATATGTAATTTTTGTGATACGTTAGTCAGTATTTTTGCGGGAGATAAAAATGACATTTAATGTTTTTAAACTTTAAGTTTCCGTTAAAATTAGGTACTTTTTATAGATCTGTCATATCCTGAAAAGCACTGAGTTCAATTCTGCCTGAAAGGACATACCTAATGAATGAAACAGCGAATCTTCGAATGTTAATGATATAGGCGATAACTTTTCCTAACGAAATTATTTTAAAAAAAAAACGTAGTAACGTGATTACCTATCTATGTGTTGCGAAACTACTTCCAATGATTAGTGTTAGCAAATTATAGGGTATATTGTAATAGCGATTTCTCCAGTCGGGTTTCATGGTGCGCAATAATTTACTGCGACCCCAGTCTGGAGCAAGAAAAGGAACGGGGATGGTTTTTGGTCAGTTAATGTCTGATACACCCTATCGCCCCATCCAGTGCAGAAGTCATTCCAAGATTTTCACCCTAAAAAAAAGGACGTAGGACGTTTTGGGGATGATGATGAAGATGATGACGGTGACGACGACGACGACGACGATGATGATGATGATGATGATGATGATGATGATGATGATGAGGATGATGACAATGATGATGATGATGCTCATAAACTATGGAAACAACATAGTCGACAAAGTTATTACATTCAAAGTTATTACACTTTACATTTATTGAATCAAAGTAATGACGTGTGATGTCATACTGAATATTTCGTCGTTAGACAACGGAAACAAAGTTTAATCAGAGATCTGGAAGCAGGTAGTTTGGTTAACCATACATACCTACTCAGTAATATTGTACCTATATGTATATAATAAAAACTTACACATAATATATCATTTTTGTCAGACTTAGCGCATTTCATAATTATTTTTTATTATTGATGCTATAACTTCAAAGTAAAGTATGTTACAACTAAAAAATATTGTTATTTTACTGTTACTTTTTAATTTGAAATGGGTTTAAAGAGCTGACTCTCAAATTACTTTAGCATTTTGGCTGGGCAACCAGCTGTCTTGCAACGTGTTGCGGGAACAACATTTTGTGATCCATCAATCGTTGTCCCAGGTCTGAGTGAGACGTGTATGTGAATTTGTATATTTGTAAACGCAAAAACTATATAGGATAAAATCCTATGTGCAAGGGTGCTTGCAACACTTGACCAAAACCAGATCCAAGCGTATGGCGCGCCGCTCAAAAAAACCGTTTTTTATGGTATACGTCGGCAAACGAGACGGATTACCTGATGGTAAGCAATCGGCGCCGCCCATGGACACCCGCAACTCCAAAGGAGTTACGAGTGCGTTGCCGGCCTTTTGGGGTTAGGGGGGCGGATATAAGGATCGGGAAGGGATAGAGGAAGGGGGCGGGATTGGGCCTTCGGTAACCTCACTCACACGGCGAAAAAAAAAACGTTTTTTTTTGTGATGGGAAAATTATCAAATGACTTCTCCTGCCCAGGGTCGGGCGGGAGGGAGTACCAGACTCTTACTGACTAAAAACCCCCCTGTTCCTTCTCCTGCTCGAAACAAAAACGCTGCAGTGGTATTCTGTGCGGCCGTGGTATCACTCCGATCGAGCCGACCCATTCGTGCCGAAGCTTGGCTCTCCCACACTTAATAGGTGTTTAAAAATAGTAAATTGTCTATCAAATTATTAAAGTTATATTTGGTACAGGTATAATAATGTAAACAATAACGACGTAACTTTTATGACTCACTATGTCTCATTTAATTTAGAAATTCAAAAAACCCTGAAGTTGACAACCACTAGACTAACAAAACGCGATATGATAGTAAAATTAGACAATATAAGCCTTAATAATATGAGTAATAAACACCATTAATCTTTGGCAAATATCTTCTTGCATGTGTTATTTTGCTATGACGCACATACCTACTTAATATTACCTACACTTTCCCAAAGACTGAGAAGTCTTAATATGTTTATTGTATGACGCATATTTGTATGCAATTAGTATTTAATCATAATTCAAACTAAGCATATCATATTTAATGTTCTTGGTCATTTTGTTGGTTCATTCACTAAGTGTGGGAGAGTCATGCTTCGGCACGAACGGGTCGGCTCGACCGGAGTGATACCACGGCCACACAGAAAACCGGCGTGAAACAACTACAGCTTTGTGTTTTGCCGTGTGAGTGAGGTTACCGGAGGCCCAATCCTTCCCCTTCCCCAATCCCTAAATCTCGAAATCACCAATCCCCAAAAGGTAACGTAAGTAACTCGTAACCGCCCTGTCGTTGCGGGTGTCCATGAGCGGCGTTGATTGATTACCATCAGGTAATATGTTGGCTTGTTTGTCGACTTATCACATAAAAAAACCAAGTTTTTTTTTATTACATAGAGTTTTCACAGAATTGTAACTAATTGACCACATCGACACCAGGACAGTTATGAGTATATTTGCTGAGGTTAGGGATTTAAGAGTTTGGGTGAACAAATTTGGCCTCCGGGCACCTCACTCATATGGCACACACTTTAATTTCAAACTTAAATTTTCCTGTTTCATTATTTGTTTTTAAACTACAGCATACCTGCATAGACATTTTTATAGTAACTTAGTATAATGAATTGAGTAACTTTTACTTTAATATATACCTATATAAAGTCTGTAATAGTTAAATGAGGTCTTTATAAATGCAATCTCTAACCAAACTGGCAGGCAAGAAGATTATGACATAAATAATGATGAAATATTTATTTTATTTTATTTTGAATTCATTTTAACCAGGTAAGTACTTTTATAAGACCATAAATTGAAATGAGATTAATTTAGTAAACAGTAGTAAAAAAAGTATCTAATATAATTTATTCTTATGTTGACTGAGAATTCCCAAGGTGATGTGAAATTGGAAAACCAGTGGGAAATACTTATACCAAGTAATGTAAGCCACTTATAAAGATAAAGATTACACACTTACAAATAGAGAAATATGTGGAAATAAGAGTATAGTACTTCTCTTTTTTCTTAATTAGTCAACCACTGCATACAATGAGGTCATAATACCAATATGTGTAGCTTAGATAGACACAGCGTTGTTGCTAGTATTTTAGGTAGTGTGAAAAATAATAAAAATGGTGTACTTCTAAACTGTCTATGGTCACATTGCTCACGCTACCCCAGGACTAATTCTGGTTGGATGTTACAGTAGACTCTGGGTTAAGTTTGAAGCAGTCACAAAATGGTAATAAGTTTTTCTACCCAATTGGGTGTGTCAAAGAAGTGGAACAATTAATTTATTTTTGCAAATAGGCCATAAAAAGGCACTTTTACATATCAAATTTATATGTAAAAACTATATGAAGCCAGCATTTCCTATCTGATCTAGTCTGAGAAGAAATGCTGAAACACACTCAGAGGAGTCAGAGATCTGTCTCTTTTCAAGTCCAGATAATGTAAAAGATAATTATGTGCATTCAATTATTTTATTTCTTTTTGCCTGTTAAACCAGCTATCAGTCCCGAGACTGAGAAAGTCTGTTTCAAGATGCTGTTTATTATATTGTGTGATTACAATAAAACTACTATAAATAAAGTTATAAAATATTAAAGGTTTATGTTCTAACAGTTAGTACTATACAATTCTTGACCCAGTTAGCATAAGTAGGTGCGCACTTAAACAATTAATAGATTAGCCTTGATAAAGGAGAAAATGTGCATAAATAATTACACAAGAGAAACATAATTATATTTTTTTTGGAACTGGGAAGGCACATATTGTGGAATAAAACCATACATAACATTATGATAACCATTCAGCGATAGGTGAATGTTGATATCAAGTTTTTTAAGTATAAGTACTATTAACAATGAAATACCGAACTAGCCGTCCCAAAACACCGTTAAGGCATAATAGGTATTAGGATTATTTGCCCAGAAAACTGTTTTATGAACATAAATCTAAAGTAAAATCTAAAACTACATCGACAAAAACGAAAGTTAATAAATATTCAATTTTGAACTTACTCATTGTCCGTGCCCGTCCACAGCGGCGTGTACTCATAGTTATAATCTTGCTTATTCGCCATTTCTTTTGATACTTTTGTCACTTTATATTTAATTGCTTAAAAAAGTAACTAAGACTATTCGAATATATTTATTTATTTACATGATCAAATCAACAGTTTGAATGTTTGACATCTTTGCATTTTGACAGTTTTGTTTGGTGCTGCCACTTCACAATAAAAGAGACATGTCGTTTTAGGGCATGTAAAAAACCAATCTCTTTCCTAATATTACGCTACAAAATAAATATCCTTAGCGATTAGTTTCATTTATTATAAGTGTAAAATTGTTACGTTAGTTATTAAATAATTTAAAATGTAGGTACCTTCTAACTTTTAATATCTATAATCGCGTTGCTGAAACATGCTAAGCGTAAGCTCTCAGGGGCCTAAAATCAGTATAATAAAAAAAAAAGTTTCAAATGCATACAAATTTACATCAACACCATATAAATTTGAATTATGTTATCGTTGCCACCAGAAATGTTCTTATGGAAAAAATGATTGATCTTCTTCGGACCTTATTGGATATCCCAACGTTCATCGTAGTGGAAAGATTGTTGGCGGAAAAAATGGTAAAATCAACAATATGTCCCATACGTGCCGGGCCTATAAGCTTTCTGTATGTGGGTGACCTAATTTTTCCACAAGTTATTACCCAACTTATTATGGGGAGTCATGGCGTTGCATTCTATAGGGATTTGGTTAAGCTGAGTGGGTTTGGCCGAGTTTTTTGTTGGAGAAGCAAATCAATTTAATAGTTTGAGGGACATTGATATTCGCACGTCGCATAAAATCTTTATGACTGGCTTTATTGTTATCTGGCGTAATATATGGGCAGCAGTGTTTTATTAGGCAGAACAGGGTGCAGAGACATACCTA